AGCAGCAGTTTTGCCTTTAACTAATGCAGCTTCAAGGTAAGACGTGGCAGACGGTATTTTTATTCTCTAAGTTTTTTAGACGGCTCAACGATGAAGAGGAAGGAACCTCATTCGTCTCACTCTGTTTTGAGTTATAATAGGCGATCGAAAACTGTGACTATGACCTCGAAAGACCAGAATGACGTAAGTTGAAAGTACTTTAGTGGTTGATCATACGTTGGGAGTCGTTGAATGTTGCTAGGTTTGATACCACATTGATAAAAAAGGATTTATTGTGGAAGAGGTTATTTACAGGATGGTACTGATGAAAGTGAGAAGTCGTTTACAGACGGAGAGACTACTGAAGTGGAAAGTGAGGAAGTCGTATATATGGATTCTTCATCAGATGAAGGCGTTTGTTTGTTTTTTAAACAGATTGTTTTTATATTCTTTATAAAAGATATAACTTGTGATTTAGTTGTTACAAAGTTCTGATTAGGTCACTTACGAAAATTCGTTTTTCCGTTTCTAGTTTTTGAAAACTACAGATATGACGCTTTGTTGTGCTTAATCGTCTTTACAGTCTTTTAGATGTCGTAATTACATTTTGAATAATGAGCTAAATGAGTTATTGTGGCCAACTTGCTGGTGATCAGTGATCTTTTATTCAGAAGCTGAGACGGAAATCTTACTGAAAGAACTTATTTTTTTCTTAATTTAGAAGGTCATATTCATTGACAACGGTTTATCGTCTACACATTTAAGGGTTTATTATATTCAGAATAAGAAATTTTTGATGTGACAGTTTTTTTGGCTTACTTTTGAATTTTACCGGGAACCGTTTTAAAACTGAATAGCCTTTTTTAACCGTTGTTCTGTGTATTTATTAACCATTGTGTAATCGCTGTTTGCGTTTTTTTCGCTTGAAATATAGGATTTCTTCAGTTTGGGAAAAATAGCTGTGCTTGTATTATTTGGCGGGCTACACCGTTAAAATACTAATTTTTTAAAATTTTTTCTATATTGGTAGAATAAAAAACTATTTAATTAGCCTTTCTAGATCATTAAAGATTGTAATTTTTTTGTTTTTTTTACCTTTAAAAACCACCAGAACAGGTTATTAGTAATTTGCTAAATAGATTATACTAAGTCAAGTTTCCTGAACTTTAGCCATAGCGTTCCCGCTTCACAATAATCTTTTTCTGTTCTGGTTGTGGTTTGTATGTATCCTTTTTTGTTTCACTGCGATATTAATCGTTTTAGGATGATGTATTCTTTCAGCAAAACGCAAACGTTTAACAGATTATGCTCGAGAAGATATCAGGTTTTCGTTCCAAGATGTGGTTTTTTCTTTACATATGTTGAATTCCGCTCAACGTTCACGATACGAAGATATTATCCAAAATTATGGAGGCATTTTAAACGATGAAACTAATGATTTTTCAAAGGTTTTTTTCTTTCGATATTTTTTTCTGAGATAAGGAACAAGCTATATAATAGCCTTCTTTAATAATAGGTGAGAATTTCAGTGGTTAAACAGTTCAGTATTTGCAAGGTGACGTTTCTCTGTTTTGTATGTGGTGCTTTAGCGTTGACAGCTTGTTTAAGTACGTTAAAAGCAGTCCGCATTTTAGGTGAAATACGTCTTGGTGGATTCTCAAATATCCCAAGAAGAACTTATACAGCTGCGGGATACACTGCCAGAATCCTGTTATATTGTAAAAAAGAATTTTGTTGATGAATGTTTAGATGTTGGAGGATTGGTAGATTACAGGGATTTCATGTTGTAATTTCACTTTTATTTATTTATTTGTTTTTTGAAATAGTGTACATTTTTGTGTTGTGTTAGTGAGTTAATTTGTGATTGTCTTTTTTTTATACTTGTGCATGAGGTTAATACTAAGGTGTCGTTGTACTGAACTTGAAAATCACCTATCTGTATTATTGTCTTACTAGCAGTGTTTTGGAAATAAGTGCAGTTTTTTGTTAACAAGGAATTGTGGTATGTCAATTCTGATTTTCCTGCTGATGTTTATATTTAGCAATAAGTAGTTTATTTGGAGTACCGTTATTGAATCTTTAACACTGCTGAAATCCCACTATCGAGTTGAAGTCACTTTGAAGGATAATTTTCTCTCATTTTTCTTTCAGCTTGTCTGTAGGCATACATGTCGATGATTATGTATTTGCCGTCCTCACTTTCTAAGCAGCTCTTCATCCCGTTATAGAACCACAGGGTTATGGGGATTGACATCAGGAATGCTTCTCCTGCTCTGTCGGAATTCCACAAGAGTTGCTCAAGAAATTCGGTTTTACTGAGTTCTGTTGTTGGACTGTTGTAGTCATATTCCTGCGTGTAATGAAATGAGGTTTAATATCAACATTATTCGACAAAAGAACACTGTTTTGGATCATTTTGGAGCGAGATGGATGAAATGAAGTTTTTTACTTACTTTGATGTACTCAAGTATTTTTTTTTGAGCTATTGTTTGAGATTCCGGAGACATGCCGGGTACCCAGTCTCGTGTTCGTGCTATTTTCATCTGTTGTACGGCGTCCCATACTTTTCGGAACCCTCCGCCAACAAAAGTTCTTGTTGCTGGTGGAACATACTGTTGCAGTCCGTTTCTTGCCTAAATGGATGAGCATTGGTGTTATCGTAAGTCCTGAGTTCTTAATGATTTTTTAAATGATTTGTAACTTTGGACTTTAAGATTGCGTTTCATTCTTCTGGTAAGGTCTTTTTGCTCATTGCTGTATTTTTTTATTTTTTTTTACTTTTGGGCTTGTCTTGAGCAAGCTGACCTGCATGTCTTGAAGTTCACTCAGGTGTTTTGCTGCAGCAGTCCAGTACTTGGATTGATGAGTCAGGCAGTTCCAAATTGTTTCGGTCATACACGGATTGATACGTTTTGGGTAAGTGATTTTGGGTAGTGGTAAACCCTATAAGTGTTTTAAACTTTATTGAGTGGAAGTTGGCCCTGCAGTGAGCACCACGTAAAGATAAAAATACTCTTAGTCCTCTGGTAGCCATAGCAGCACACTCTGTGTAGCTGAACCAGTAATATCCGCCTTCCAGAACTGCTATCACTTTGTTTGGCCAGTGTTGGTGAAGTAATTTCATCATGTACCCGTATCTTAAAAGAATTGAGCTTGGTTACTGGGATGGTACTTAAATTTTAAAAATATGAAAAGTTGGTGCAATAAAAAAGTCAGGATTTTGAACCCTGGCGCTTTGATCCCTTGACCGTGTTCCAGGAGATCGTCATAATAAGCGGAGTCGAAACCGAGTGAAATTAAGACAAGTTCTGGTTGGAATTCTTCAGCAATCGGTATTGCTAGATGTTTGAGTGCTCCGATGTAATCGCCCTCTGAGTTTAATGCAGCGTTCAACGGAATAGAAATTATGTTTTCTGGAAATAGTCTTCTAAATGTTAAATTAGCATATTGTTTAAAAGGTTTGCTGCTGAAGCAGTCTTGGAGAAGTTTTTTTATCAAGGGATCCTAAAAATTTGACTTTGAACAGAACTGCAGCACAGGTTCTTTAGTGCAAAAGACTGTAAGTTTGTTGACGGATATAGTTGGTTTTGTAAGGGGACGAAATCAGTTGAGCAAATTTTCTTGAGAAGATCGGATTGGCAACAGGAGTTATCATTTAAAGTGGTTACTGTATTTAGGGTCGTAGTCGTATTCTTCTTTGTAAGGCCAGAAAGCTCCATGGTGATAGGCGTGGAAGTTGACGTACAAAAATCGGTTATCCCCTTTAAACGAGTGGTAGTTGCCGTTACCGCAGTGGAAATCGACATCAACAACCAATACCTGAGAGACAAATTAAAAACGTGCACATTTGCATAAAAAGTTTGGCAGTTTCTATATTAATGCTGGTTTGTAATACAGCCCTCCAAGATTCTTTGCCGGAGTTGCTTGTGCATTGTTACTTACCTTTTTCAACCCTAACTTTTCAACGGCGTACTTTCCAGCTATGGCAACGTTATTGAAGACACAAAACCCTTGTGGTGATCGGCCCCAAGAGTGATGACCTGGTGGTCTAGTAATCGCGAAGCCATTGCCAATTCTTTAATTAGTAATTTACTTATTTCTTTAAAGACTCATTAAATAGTTTTGATATAATAGCTGCTGGAAGTCTGTTTCTTGTTTTTTATCAGAGTACTGGTTTTTACAAGTTCTTTTTGGTTTTCGAGTTAGTTCACACTTTTCCGGGTAAAGAAATGTTATACTTCTTGTAGGATACCGAAAAAAAAAACGAAACAAACTCGTTTGCAACATTTGCTTTCACCAGATCGATAACCCCGCCGACGGTTAAACGAGCGACTTCAAGGCTGTCTTCACATAACCATAGGAGCTCATGGGCTTTGCAATATTCTTCAAGTTCATCGACTGTATGCAGACTTGTAAGTTCGTCAAGTAAATCTTGAGTATGTACGAGGCAGATTTCCCAGTCTTCAGCTTTTCGTAGTTCAACCTAAAAATTTTTTCACATCATTTCTCAAACTTAATGGCTAACAAATTCGTTCACTCATTTCACTTGAGATTGTTTCTTATGGGCCCTTAAGACGCTGCTATATATTGTTAACAAAACTTAGCAATTTTTTGGCATATTGATTATTGGAAAGTCTTGTTTATACGGAATTGGACGAAAGATGCAGTTTGTAAACGATGGACCTTGAGCGCGTTTTTTAAAAGTCCTTCTTCTTGAAGTCTTTTATATATCAAGACAGCTCGTTCAGGGCGTTCTTGTGTTTGTTTTTGAGGATCGTATGGACATTCATGCTTTTGTAGAATGTCGTCATATACGTAACCAAAGCGGCGATACATTCCTTCGCAGTCCTTAGTTGTATATCTCTGTACTGCAGAATTAATTTCTTGGCTAAAGCGGTTTAGAAAATAATTTCTCATGATGGATAAACAAAAGCAAAAATATTTATTGCATTAATGGGATTATTATGATTTACAGAACTGGCCAAAACCTCTTTTTTATCAGTTTTATGGACAAAGGATTTTGAAGAACCAATATGCCGACATTGGAAAAAAGAGGTTACGAAGATGGCACTTGAAAAGCAGATAAAAACTGGCTGCATTTTAATCAGTTCAAGCATCTACTTGATATCTATGTTTAAGACAGGAACTTTAGCAGCTATAGTGGAACAAACAGGAGGAGAGTGAATTGTGCAGTTAAAGCTGTCACTGAAGTATAAAAACCATTTCAACAAATATAAATAATTAAAGTTGGGACGATAAAGTGAAAATGTTGGCTCAGACGTCTTGAATGATGCAATGTTTTATTTGATTTTTCCGCAAAACGAAAAAATGCAAGCAGTAATTTATTTTATTTTTCACTGTTTTATCGCTTTTGTTGAATCGACTCTACAGTTGATCCTGAGATTGAAGAAGTGAATCTAGTTATTTCTGAAAAAATGCACAATTTTTGAGGTGTTATTTTTTGATGAAAGTCTCGGTAAAATCTTTGTTTACTTTATAAATATTTATTGCATTAGTGATTTTGTGTTCTGCTTTCACCATATTTTCATGAATGTAAATTTGAGCAATGGAAGTCTCTGATTTAGAAGTAGATAAAACAGTATTGAATGTTTTAAATAACAGAGTGGTTATGTTAACTGTTTACATCGAAATGTCTACATTGCCATAATGGTCATTTGGTTTTGTTTTTGGAAATTCTGACGTTTTTTTACCTAGTTTGCTTTCTTCTACCTTTGGTGATAGAAGATGGAGGCAAAGGATGGATAAGATAAAAAGTAGCAAAAAAAAAATTTTTTTTTTTGTTAAATTTAAACAGAGGTGAAAATAATGTGGAATTTTTGATTTTAGCTGAACGGAACAACAGCAGTGCCTTATTTTCACTGGAAAAGATTCATTATTTAATTTGCTTTAACAGAAAAAAAAATAAAAGAATGAAATATTAAAGTTTTTAAATTTTCAAGTAGTTGCTTCTTTTTCCATATTTGTTTTATAAAATCTCATGTAAACTTGTTCTTTTTTTTTCTTTAGCTTCTGTTTATAAATGATTATTTTGGAAAGAAAAAAATATAGTTTTTTTTGCAACTCAAGTTATCGATAAAATTGTTGATTTAACAGTTCATCTGTTGGTTGTTCAAGTAGTAGACTTTAAGCTTATTTTGGACTGTCAAATAAAAATACAAAAAATTGCTAAAACTTCGACAGAGAGACATAGTTTGGTGATCTGATAGTTGGGACTGGTCATGTATAGACAAGTAAACTTTGAACTTGACAGTAATTTGATCACTGATCGCTAGACATAATTTTGTGTATAAATTATTGTAACAATTTAATATAATTTGTTATTTTTATATAAACGTAAACACCATCTCAACCGTAATTTGTAATTGTTAAGGTTTACTGGCCGAGCGACGATGACACAAGTATCCGTTTAAAATCAACATAACAATTATATACTGTTTATATATATTTGGTACATCTAATAAACATCTAGTGAGAATTTTACTGTTCTAGTACAGTAGAGGAGAAAAACGAAAGTAGATAATGAAAAAAAGTTTTTTTTTAGGTTTTTCACTCATTAGTTTGTTAAAGAAAATAAAAGAGAAGAAAAACAATGTGTTGTCTTAAAGTTGGGAAGCAAATAAAAGACGACGTAAACTGAGTGAAGAAAAAAAAAAGCTTTTTGTTGTCTTTTTACTCAAAAGGATAACAGCAAATTATTGAGGTGTTAGTGGGTTTTATAGTCTTCAATATGTTGATAGGAATAGAGTTGTGTTAAAGAAAATAGTTTAGGATGTGGGGGAGTTTGGCATTTAAATGTATAGAACAAGCGCTTGATTATGCATGGATCCGATTACATGCGCTAAGATTTTTACAACTGTCTTTGGTTTTCATTTTAATTGGCATTTGGTTATTTATTATATCCATGTTTTTCTTTTTTCCTTTTCTTATTTACCATCATTATGGCTAAAGCAAAAAAGAAAGTACTTTAATTGAAAATTGACGACGTTTACCATAGGATTGCAAGCTGCGCAAATAATGTTGGCATTTATTTTTTGGTTATTCAAATGAAGAAGA